CATCGCTGGCTTTGCGATTAGTAAATCGCAACGTATCAAATCGCAATTGCGGTACGATTTTGATTAATCGCACAGCCCTAATTCATTCTTCAGCTCAATCTCATATTCACAATAAAACATTAGTTTGAATGTCCGTTGAGGAAAGTGATATCTTTGTCATACTATCCTTTCATCTGTTAAGGGTGATTTCCAATGACAGCGCTGCTCACTGCATTTGTTAACTGCATCTTACAAGCTGTTATTAAAAGTAAAAATAACTTTTTTTTTTGTTTCAGTCTCTTTCAATATAAAAGTCTTAAATGCTGACTCGTAAAACAGTCACTTGTCGCCATCTAATGGCGGAACAATATCACAAAAATCACCATCACGAACACACACACTGTTTCCCAATACTAAATACTACTATTAGACTTGTGCCGGTATTCGGTAATGCGATATATCACGGTAATGAATATGCACGATATTGTTATCGTGGGCACTTCTAAATACCGTGAATAATTATATATTACAAATTATTCAGAATTTTGAATGCATTTTAAGAATACTTTTCCCATCAACTGGTCAAAATGCACAACACCGCTGTATGCTGCGTGAAAGACGCGTGCGCACTCTGATGTAAACAAGCGCGGATGTGAAGCACATGGCGGAACATGTGAGAGACGCTCTGGATGAAAGCGCACTTTCACTCTCTGACAGCAGATGGCGCTAAACTGCAGAAATGATGATAATAATAATAATAATAATAATTCATTTAAATGCAGCCATTACCCCGGAAACCCTGTAAATAAAGCAGCTGCACTACTTTCTGTTTCTGAATCGTGTTTAAATGATTTAAGCAGTCATTCAGATTTGTGTATTTGCTATGATGTTCATCACAGTGCCAAATACTTAAATATTTAGACTTAATAGGCTATTTATTTTCAAACTTTTTTTTAACATTTTCATTTGGACTACAACATGCCCTAGATATTGTTTGAAGGTGTTTTGATTCTTTATTGTTCGGTCACACTTTACATTAGGGCTTCATTAGTTAACATTAGTTAATTCATTAGTTAACATAAACTGCCAATGAAAAATTCTTCTGAACATTTATTACTCTTAGGTATTCCAATATTTAATAACATGTTAAAATCGAAAGTTGCAGCTGTGTTATTTAATGAGCTAACATGAACTAAGACTTGTATTTTTTAAACAAAGATTAATAACTTCTGTAGCAAATGTAGCTATTGCTCATTGTTAATGTTAATGCATTAACTAAGGTTAACTAATGAGGTCTTATTGTAAAGTGATACCTATTGGTCTTTATAGTTCTTTTGCACTTTAATCTGTGTAAAACTTTTAACTTTATATATTTTTCTGTATTGCTTTATTGCATTTAAATGTTCAGTTATTTTTGTTATAAGAAAAATGTTATTAAACCTGTTATACTGTATTATGACAGCACTTTTATTTCAACTAAATTGCAATATCGTGATAATACCGTATACCGTGATAAAAGCATTAGCAATTAATCGCAACATGATAATTTGATACCGGCATATCCCTATAACAGACTAACACCCAATTGAATATTAATTGAAAACACCCGTCTGTCAAACTGACATCTGTTCAAGTGAAACAAAAAGTATAAACACCACTTTTATACGCGACTTATAGCGCGCTCAACATCAATCCAAACAAATAAACGCAGAAATTTTGCCTATAAGTGTCATTAAGTGTCTCAGCTCTTCTGTTCAAATGTTAAAGCCCATTATTGGAAAGATGCCTTACCTTCTCACAAATCCTGGAAAACGTTCCTGATTTGCCTAGAAACCATTAACGCAGCCACGATCCTCATACGAACCACGGCCGTTCGCGACAGGAACGGCGGCAGCAGCAGCAAGACGCCCGGCTCCGTAATTCCTTCAGATGTTCGGGAATCAGATGTTCAGCAGCAGACGCCCGGCTCCGTGTTTCCTTCGGATGTTCGGGAATCAGACTCCGGAGCTGCGTTCGCTACTTGTATATTGCGCGCACTTCGTGCCAAAATCAAACGACCGACCGACCGATCGAACGTCTATCTGAACGTCTTGAGCTTTGAGCGTCTTACACTGCGGGTGACCCAGCTGACGACCTGACGCGACGTCAGCGCGACAGTTGCTCTTACATTTAAGGTAAAAACTTTCAATGTTCTCATGAACTGCTAGAATCTGTGAGTAGATGTTTAATGAGGTTATGAAATATAAACATGTTCAGTTTTCATAAGAGCTGATGTTTGCATTTACAGAGATGTCTATTGATCAAAGATGAATATATCCTCCTGAGACCCAGACTGATGTCTGATCTACTGTAAAGTAAACATATACATATATATATATATATATGGACTATGTAAACCTTAAAAATAACTATTGTATGTGAAATATCTTATTCAGGTCAGTACTAAATAAACAATAACATGCATTTTGTATGATCCCTCTTATTTTTTTAAATAATTACTTCTGAATATTGACTGAGGTTAATAACTCTGCATAACTCTTGCGCAAAATTTTCACGTTGCTTGTGT